TTATTTAGACCAACAAGAATAAAACCTTACCCAGTGAAGCTCCCGATACTCCCGCCACCTATGGACATCCTGACACACATCTCCGAATTCCAACTCCATATTATTGTTATCGTTCCCGCTCTGGCCTCCATCATCAGCACGAGGTAAGAGACACAGGCTGCATTGGTATCCTGTTTTTTCTCTCACCTGGCGGACAAACAGTACACAACGTTTCTGTCCTCTTCAATATGAAGTTGATAACGTCTGGGCCTCTGTCGTATATATCTGAGGTGAACCGAGCACCAACCTTCCCTTATCTCTGGTGTAGAAGAAAATTTATAAATGAAAGAATTTTTAAGAATTCACATCAGGATAGGTGGTAGGATGGTAAACCAGTGGCAGGATGGCAGACAGTGGCAGGATGGCAGACTGGCAGGATGGCAGACAGCGGCAGGATGGCAGACAGTGGCAGGATGGTAGAGAGTGACAGAATAAGGCAGGTTGCAAGTGTTGGGTGTGTGGCTACCCGTGTCTCCGTGATGGACGTGGCCCCAGGGACCACTTCCCTACCTATATTTAGCCAGGGTGAGCACACTGAGGCTGCTGGAGGCTGGCGGGGGTGTTGGACCGCTCAGCTGGACCTGATTAAGCTGTGCTCTGATACACCCAAGTGGCCTTGTTGAAGGACCTCGTGTTCAGCAAACGATAAATCTTCATATTCATTAACGCAAGATCCGTTCTGTGTATAGTTAGCTGACCCAAGTGATTCTTAGTCCACTTCTAGTCATACCAAGATGAAGAAACCACCTTTACCAGGGAGTCTCCATGTTCGAGTTAACGTAGCTACCAGTATTTGCCTAAATCTGAACTTTAATAATATTTCAAATTAAAGACACCCAAACCTATGCTTGTATTAATTAGTCTGAACTAACACGGACTAGTAATATGAGTTAAACCTAAAACATAAAATGAACGTCCATCTTAGGTACTGTACGTCATGTCCCCCAACACTGTAATATTTCCTAATTCCTGCTCTTTACCTTATTAGATACAAACTTAAACACATAACCACAAGGTCACTTAATCTACCAACTCCACATAACTGAGGTCAATATAATATCCCTAACGACCTAAAGAACAGATCAAGACACAAGACTTGTATGTCACCTGTTTTTAAAACCACTCTGAGATGAGCTACAAGAGACATCCAACTCAATAAACAAAATACTAACCTCAAGCAACACCTTTATCGGTATACTCTTCTTTTGTTGAATCAAGAGAAGCCTGAAGGTGATGGAATGAGGGGATAAAATTAATAAATGATGGAGCATCATCCTACGTCAACCTCAGCATCACCAAGCCTCCTTAATATGATAATTAATACAATATATTATAAGCCCTGACCCACCCTTGAACTGGGACCCATAAAGATTAAGTAAGGCCTTTTAGGACTGGAGACCATCAAGATTGGTAGGCCCTTCATGAGGATTAGAGATCATCAGGATTGGGGCCCCACTTGAATTGGTGACCTTTAGGGCTGGGGCCCATTATTTGACCATTCACAGAAAACTAAGGACACGTACAATGCCTTGGATCCCCCATATCCTTAAAACACACACACACACACACACACACACACACACACACACACACACACACACACACACACACACACACTTTAATCTTTTTCAGTGTTCACTAACAGCTTCTCTTAATGCCATGATAAGTTAGTGCACAAATAGAAAGTCAACTCTCGTCTCACGCCAGGTGGCCAGGCACTCGTCCTGGTGGGGGTCAGGTTCTCAAGATGAGAGGGTCAACTCGACGCACTCAGGGAGTTAAATAATTGTCCTCAAAAGTGTCATCTTACTCAAGGGTTTGTCATAGTACTCAAGGGGTTAAATCATCCTACTTAAGGGATCAAGTCATCTTCCTCAAGGGAACAAGTCATCTTACTCGAGGGGTTATATCATTTTCCTCAAGGATTATGTCATCCTTCTCAAAGGGTTAAGTCATCAAACAAATGGGATTAACTCGACCTACTAAAGGGGGTGAAGTCATCTTACTCATTGGGTGATGTCATATCGATGTGTGGATGCTTTTCTCAATGACTTCGTTATTATACTAAAGGGGGCGACATCATATTCAGAACGTGAAATAATCTTGGTAATGGAGTGAAGTAATCATTATACAGGAGTGAAGTCATCATTATACAGGAGTGAAGTAATCATTATACAGGAGTGAAGTCATCATTATACAGGAGTGAAGTCATCATTATACAGGAGTGAAGTCATCATTATACAGGAGTGAAGTCATCATTATACAGGAGTGAAGTCATCAGTGTACAGGAGTAAATTCATCATTATACAAGAGTGAAGTCATCATTGTACAGGAGTAAAGTCACCTGTGTACAGGAGTGAAGTCACCAGTGTACAGGGGTGAAGTCATCAAAGGAACAGGTTGTATGGTTCTCAAAGGGTAAATTCTCCATTCCCAGAGGCTGACATCACTGTACAGACGAGACGATGTGACCTTTCCCTGATCACTACACCTCGACCACGTCACCTGGCTGCTTGATGGTAGAAAGTGCCATATCAGGGTTTACGTCATCGTCCTCCAGGGGTTAAGTCATCTTACTCAAGGGGTTAAGTCATCTTACTCACGGGGTTAAGTCATCTTACTCAAGGGGTTAAGTCATCTTACTCAAGGGGTTAAGTCATCTTACTCAGGGTTGATCATCCTAAGGGTTAGTCATCTTACTCAAGGGTTAGTATTCTTACTCAAGGGGTTAAGTCATCTTACTCAGGGATTTAAGTCATCTTACTCAAGGGTTAAGTCATCTTACTCAGGGAAGATCTTACTCAGGTTGTGATCATCTTACTCAAGGGGTTAAGTCATCTTACTCAAGGGGTAGTCATCTTACTCAGGGGTTAAGTCATCTTACTCAGGGGTTAAGTCATCTTACTCAAGGGGTTAAGTCATCTTACTCAAGGGGTTAAGTCATCTTACTCAGGGGTTCATCACTCCTAAGGGGTTAAGTCTCACTCAAGGGGTTGAGTCATCTTACTCAAGGGTTAGTCATCTTCCAAGGGGTTAAGTCATCCTGGGGTTAAGTCATCTTACTCAGGGGTTTAGAATTATCTTACTAAGGGGTTAAGTCATCTTACTCAAGGGGTTAGTCATCTTACTCAGGGTTTAATCATCTTACTCAAGGGGTTAAGTCATCTTACTCAGGGGTTTGCGTCATCACTCAGGGGTTAAGTCATCTTACTCAAGGGGTTAAGTCATCTTACTCAAGGGTTAAGTCATCTTACTCAAGGGGTTAAGTCATCTTACTCAAGGGGTTAAGTCTTCCTCAAGGGGTTAAGTCATCTTACTCAAGGGGTTAAGTCATCTTACTCAGGGTTTAAGTCTTCTACTCAGGGGTTTAAGTCATCTTACTCAAGGGTGTTGTTAGTCTCTTACTCAAGGGGTTAAGTCATCTTACTCAGGGGTTAAGTCATCTTACTCAAGGGGTTAAGTCTCTTACTCAAGGGGTTAAGTCATCTTACTCAGGGTTTAAGTCATACTCCTGGGGGTTAAGTCATCTACTCAAGGGGTTAGTGTTCTTACTCAGGGGTTTAAGTCATCCTCAGAGGTTAAGTTCACCTCAAGGGGTTTAAGTCATCTTACTCAAGGGGTTTAGCTCATCTTACTCAAGGGGTTAAGTCATCTTACTCAAGGGTTAAGTCATCTTACTCAAGGGGTTAAGTCATCTTACTCAGGGGTTGAAAATTCCTCAGGGTTTAAGTCATCTTACAAGGGGTTTGCATCTTACTCAGGGGTTAAGTCATCATATCTCAAGGGGTTAAGTCATCTTACTCAGAGGTTTAGTCATCTTACTCAGGGGTTAGGTCTCTTACTCAAGGGGTTAAGTCATCTTACTCAAGGGGTTAAGTCATCTTACTCAGGAGTTAAGTCATCTTACTCAGGGTTTAAGTCTCATACTCAAGGGGTTAAGATCTTACTCAGGGGTTAAGTCATTTACTCAGGGTTTAAGTCTACTCGGGGTTTAAGTCATCTTACTCAAGGGGTTGAGTCTCACTAAGGGTTTAAGTCATCACTCAGGGTTTAAATCATCTTACTCAAGGGTTTAAGTCATCTTACTCAGGGGTTTAAGTCATCTTACTCATTTAAGTCATCTTACTCAGGGTTTAAGTCATCTTACTCAAGGGTTAAGTCATCTTACTCAAGGGGTTAAGTCATCTTACTCAGGGGTTTAATCATCTTACTCAGGGGTTTAAGTCTTCTTACTCAAGGGGTTTAAGTCATCTTACTCAGGGGTTTAAGTCATCCTACAAAGGGAAGTCATCTTACTCAAGGGGTTAAGTCATCTTACTCAAGGGGTTTGTGTCATCTTAAGGGGTTTAGTCATCTTACTCAGGGGTTTAAGTCATCTTACTCAAGGGGTTTTAAGTCATCTTACTCAAGGGGTTTAAGTCATCTTACTAGGGTTTTAGTCTCACTAGGGGTTTAAGTCATCTTACTCAAGGTTAAAGACAATAAACCAGGTGCCTTAAGTCATCACACTATGGGTAAAAGCCAGCATACTTAATGGTACAAGTCATCTTACTGAAGGGGCGGACACTGGGTTCACACACGGGGTGGACACATGGTTCACACACGGGGCAAACAGGGTTAACACACGGGGTGGACACATGGTTCCAGGGCAGACATAGGGTTCACACACACGGGGCAGAAACAGGGTTAACAGGTGGACACAACAGCACCTACCTGTAGAACAAGAAGGCCTGGTGCAGGGGTTGGCGTTTTCCAAAGTGCAGTGCGCCCATGGACTGCTGGCTGGCTCCCTCTTGTTTATTGTGGTCACCCTGTGTGTGTGTCTGTCCTGTGCAGTTCACAGTTACTGGTGCTTGTGGAATGTCCTCCTCCACACCTCACTCACACCACACTTCGGTAATGTTTATTTTGTTAAATTTTTTCAAGCACTTTTCTACGTCCAAGGTCACTCTTTTGTTTTGTTTCTTTTCTCTGTTAAACTGATGGGTATTTCAGAGGTTTTTTTTCTGTAGGTTACACTTACATTTTCATTTCTATTTCAATACTTCACGATCGAACGGTTGTTTGTCCTGGTGCACTGGGTTCCTCAGAGATCTAGAATACACAGCTTTTACATGACCGATTTGTTGAATACAGTCTACGTCTCTCTCACACAAACATTCATATTCTCAACCCAAGATAAAAAAAAAAAAGATCTCAGACATTCGGGATACATTTCAGTTTCCATTGTTATGCAAATGGACTTAAAGGACCGGCTCTTTCACACTTGACAATGAAGGAACTCATACAGAAAATGGCGAGGAGAATGCCTGCACACTGACATCTGCGACCACACAGGCGGAGATATTGCCTGACTCACACGTCACTGCACGTCAATGTCACCCTTCCACCACCCCGTCCTGCTTGCTATTTTCCTGCCCATCTAGTCCCGTGTCCTTGTCTTCCTCACTACCCCTTCCTCCTGACCTACAAGAACATCATAACGGCTCACCATCAGCCGGGGATGACGACGGAAAAAAAGTATGCAAGCAGCACCTGTTCTTCACGGCCTAGAAGGCCAAACGACCCTCGGAGGTGGGGGTGACAGCTGGAGTGAGTACGAGCGGATGGAAGAACAGCAGGCAGATGACAGGGGGGGTAAGCAAGCTGGAGCAGAGGGGGTATGAAGGTAGAGGCAATAAGAGCTGGGTGTAGTTTGGAAGAGGCAGTAACACAGACGCTGGAGGGTGATGGTGGAGGATGGAAGGAATACGTAGAATATGTAGCAAGTGAGGAGAGAGACAAAAAAGTATGGGGAGTGGGAGGTGAGGATAAAAGAGGGAGGAAGGGAGGGAGGAGGAGGGAGGATAGCCACCTGTCTGGCCACCACACAAACATCATCACACGTCAGCTCGTGGGTGGTGCTCAACACTTCAATCAATCACATAAACAACACAAACAAAAAATCCACGAAGGAAAATGAAAGTGGCAAAAAAAGTTATGAAAATGTGTGAGACAGAAGACATTGGAGAATGGAAGGCTAATTTGTGCAGTGAACGATGACCAAGTGGTGGGGGAGATAGCTGGAGGAGAACAACAGGTGTGTAGCGAGAAGCGGGGACACACACACACACACACACACACACACACACACGAGGGGCCTAAGGCATCAAAGAATCTCATTATCATGGATGATTTAAAGATTATTCCTTGAGACACGACAGATAGAGTTAGTAGTAGATTTATGTGTTGGTGTGACAGCAGGTACGTGAAGGTGTTCCGAGGACGCTAGAGGCAGCTGCTGGTAATATACATGTGTTCAGGGGGTTAATGGAAAATACAAATCGAAGCATTACCTCATCTCTCGCCAAGAGTAAATCCCTCAAAGGCCGAGAATCAGGTCAAGGTGAACGAGTTGCAGCTCCGCTACCACCAACCACTACAGCCGCCGCCGCCGCTTCTAAACACACCGTCATCACAGGTGCGGCTCAACAACGACCCCCCTCCCCTCTCACCCCACTTCTCATACACTCTATCCACACCTCCTCACAACACACTCCACGCATCAAGCAACCATATACGGGTTTCCTAAAATAATACTTTTAGTTTCAGCCAAAATTATTAAATTATCCTATTCGGCGAGTAACCGAGTCAGTTTTTCATAATACTTTTGGCGACGTTCAGTCACCCCAAACCTACCTCCCTGACCTAACTGGTGGAGATTCTTACAAGGGGTTGGTAGCCTCGTTCTGTTTTTCTGAACATACAATATAGTTCTTCCTTAGTCATCAGACCAACAAAAACAATAACAGCAAAAAAATTATATATATATATATATATATATATATATATATATATATATATATATATATATATATATATATATATATTATATATATATATATGTATATATATATATATATATATACTCCCACCCACAGACAACCCACCACCTGTGTGAGGCTCACAAAAGACAATTAAATTTACCTGCTAACACACCCTGAAGCCTTGGTGACGGCCGAGCCCCGCCAATCTCTACCTCGCCGCTATACATAATACACACGGACATACAAGTTACTCCCGACTTTACTGGCAATTAAAACTGGCATTAAAAGATTATTGAATGTGGCTAACAATCAGCGACCAGTCATAAACTCACTCCGCGCTGTTCGTAAAAGTCCAATCTGATCGTGGATGACTTCAAGACCCTCTAAGTACGGTAGGTGAACGGGACCCTAAATCACGCACATCTGACGTGGTAACGTGGGTTAGCTAGCCTGGCCTGGGGTCCCACGTCTCTCACCGCCTCCTCCCTACCTTCAAGTTCTCTCCCTGACAAGAGTGATATACGAGACTACATCAACCCACTTCACAAAACACACCTGCCAGGAGAACGTATAGGAATTGCATGGGGTTGTTCCCTTAAGTACATCCCATGCCACACCTCTATGTATCGGCGCCACCAACCACACATACATACTGTACATACATACATACATACATGTGGCATATTCTTTAAATAAATAAAAATAAGCACACATTCTTATATAGCCTGAGATTTAGATTAAACTTTCTTATATAACGAATGACTAATATATGGCAAGATTATAGGTGCTATAATCATTGATATAGTCAATGCTTTAAACTATATCTTAAAAACAGGAAATATTATATCCAGTTGTTAATTCAGTAAAGGAGAGAGAGAGAGAGAGAGAGAGAGAGAGAGAGAGAGAGAGAGAGAGAGAGATACACAGAAAAAACAAGACAGATATACAGATGATTATATAACTGGATAAACAGATTTTAGAGTTGGACATAGATGAATAGAAGAAAATTATGAGTGGGATAGATAAGACAGATAGTTGTATAATGTATATATGTATGTATATATATATATATATATATATATATATATATATATATATATATATATATATATATATATATATATATATATATATATATATATATATATATATATATAATTTACACGTATTATTAGATACACAGACAGACAGTAAGATGGACAGATAGAAGAAAGTAGTCAAGATGAGAGAGAGAGAGAGAGAGAGAGAGAGAGAGAGAGAGAGACCAACACCAGTAGCCAGAGTGCACCAGGCCAGACCAACTGTTTTCCCAGCTGGTGCTTCAAAGACCAGCCAGTCACCATTCACCAGTCACGTGTGTACACTCTCCTATGCGTGCACGCACGCACGCGAACGCACGCACACACAATCACCAATCGCGTGTACACTCTTCTGTGTACACAAACATTACAAATTAGCCGTGTACATTCTCCTGTGCACACACACACATCACCAATCACAAGCGTACACTCTTCTGTATACACGTCAGTGTACGTATACTATGACGTACACAGTGTTTGAAGGACTCGTCCATCCCAGTCGTGTGTACATGGTTGTATAACATTGCACACAAACACACATGTATGTCCAGGATCACGTGTACGTAAAATTCACATGTACACACAGTTAAACAGTATTGGACAAGCGTACACTGCCGTGTTTACATTGTTTAACGTACAAACACTCGGCTTTAGATTATTATGTGTACACTGTCGTAAACACTCACATGCACATGTAGTTGCTGGGAAGTGTACACATAAGTCACATACAAATCGTCAGATGTAGGTACAGGCTGACTTACAGAATAAGATTAAGTCGTGTGTGTACGAGTGTTACAAACAAACACAGTCGTGAATTACAGTAGAATCTGCACAGTCTCCCATACACTCAGTCACTGTCAGTCCGGTGTGTAAACTGTGGTGCTATAATCACACTGTCACACTCTACCTACAGTTCACTAACACAAACACACCACTTACATCCATCCCCCCACAAACACACCACTTACATCCATCCCCCCACACACACACCACTTACATCCATCCCCCCACACACACACCGCCCATCCATCCCCCACACACACCCTTGTCATCCCCACACACACACCACTTACATCTATCCCCACACACCACCACCCTCCATCTCCCACACACACACACACCACTTGTCCATCCCCACACACACACCACACATCATCCCCACACACACCACCCACATCCATCCCCCACAGTATATGCAACGAAACAGTCATTAATAACGTCACTATAGTAAGAAGGTTCTACTCACTAGCACAGTGGTGGTGTGGTGCTGTGCTCTTCACCGCTCTCATCTCCACCTACGCTGACAGTGTATGACAACCACGGTGTATATTAAGGGGACATGCCCCTCGGTATATGACTGATGGTAACTGGATAATCTTGTCTGTCGTGTGTTCCCCTTAGTTGAGGAGAGGTACCTTCATAGACAGACAGACAGACAGAAGGAAAAGGGGCGAGCTCTAGATGTCCAGCAACCTCCCACATGAGGGGCATCAAGATCACTCCACTCCACTCCACTCCACACCCGAGCAGTATGGATTATTCCCAGCCACAACCACGAACAACACAATGTTATGACATACACGCTGGTAGAGGGCAGGTCGTGAGCAGGGGGGAAGGGGTGTTGGACATGCACTGCCGTTATCTCAATATAGCAGCAACCAGGCCGCCGGTGACCCACCCTCCCTCCCTCCCCACGGTCGTGACTCTGGTCTCGAGCCACTGAAGACTTACAAACATGTCAACACTCTCCACCAACTCCACTTGCCTATTTTCTGTTAGTTCCGAGTTCGTATACACTAGAGTTTAAACGCTTGTGTATCGAAACGTTTAATTATATAAGTATTTACACTTACTCGAATATTCATTTATGTGGACGATATGTTGAAAGCTCGTTTGGAAAGTGAGGCACCGGGCCAAATGACATTTTACACAACTTTCAATCTAAATCATCTTAAACGGGAATGTCTCTTCCATTCGAAATTTTCTACGCACAAATTCTTGATTTTTGCTCGGCTGACTAAGTCCTGTATTAAAATACAGATAATGTCTGAGATTTTATGAAACAATGACATAAATTAACTGATCAACGGAGGGTGAGGGGATGATGACCACGGTAGTGCCCACAACAACACAGGTACGCGCCCCAAGTCCCGCCACACACACACACACACCAGGAGCGACACCCTCAGCCTCCACACACCTCAGTCACACTGACAGCTAACCGGGGCACGCACACTCCTACCCTCTCTCCTCCGCTGCCCCGCGCACACTGACTACCAGCCTCCGTGCAGCAGTGCCCCACCACCCAGGCCTTCCTCCCACACCACCCAGGTCCTGTCCCTTCCTCCCACACCTCCCAGGTCCTGCCACACCACCCGGGTCCTACCACACCACCAAGGTCCTAACACACCACCCAGGTCCTGCCACACCACCCAGGTCCTGTCCCTTCCTCCCACACCTCCCAGGTTCTGCCACACCACCTAGGTCCTGCCACACCACCCAGGTCCTGTCCCTTTCTCCCACACCTCCCAGTTGTTTGGTTAAGTTCATTATTATTAGTTAGGTTAAGTTGGTTAGGCTAGATTAATTTATGCATGGTTGGTTAGTCGGTAATAGCTAAGTTAGGTTTGGCTAAGTATGGTTGTTTAGGTTAGTCTAGGTTTTTAGGTATAACTGATTGGTTTGGTTGGGTTAGGTATGGTTGGTAGTGTTAGGTTGGTTAGGTTAGGTATGGTTGGTAGGGTTAGGTTAGTTAGGTCAGGTATGGTTGGTAGGGTTAGGTTAGGTACAGTTGGTAGGGTTAGGTTAGGTACAGTTGGTAGGGTTAGGTTAGGCACTGTTGGTAGGGTTAGGTTAGGTATAGTTGGTAGGGTTAGGTTAGGTATAGTTGGTAGGGTTAGGTTAGGTATGGTTGGTAGGGTTAGGTTAGGTATAGTTGGTAGGGTTAGGTTAGGTATGGTTGGTAGGGTTAGGTTAGGTATGGTTGGTAGGGTTAGGTATAGTTGGTAGGGTTAGGTTAGGTATAGTTGGTAGGGCATCACGCGCACAGTTCGTTCCATTGAATATTGATTGTATCTCTCAAACAGCCGCAATAATCATCCATTGTGTAAAAGTAAACAGAAGAATAAGGTAGTTAATTAATCATTCTTAAAATCCCAAAGTTACACTAGTAAGGATGACATCAGCACCACACACTTGCTTCCCCGTCAATTTTCATATCGCATCATATTCACCAAGTGTGAAAGGATAGTTAAAAAATAATAAAGAGGACATAATATTTATAATTTAAATTTCCTTACGTCGTAAAATATAACATTGCCCCATACACTCACCTGTCCATCAAAATGTGAGAATTCTTAGACAGTGTTTAGGGTTTGGTAGCCAGACTTCGCCTTTCGGCCGTAGCTGCTGTCCTCTATTTTCTTCTATCTTGGTCTTCTTTCTTGTTCTTCCTTCTTATTTTTTTCTATATAGATCTTCTTTCGTGTTTTTCCTTCTTTTTTGCATTACTTTTCAGATGTCAAATTCCGTATACCATTATGGTTGACACCGTCTCCACCCACCACAACAGCGACACCGTACACCCAGCAGAGGTCTGACGGACGGTTCTATTGTGTGGTGACGGGGGAGGACCTATTGTCGACCCCTATGAGAGAGGGTAAAGCGGTCGTCGTACAATAGTTACAGACACTTGTTGCGCAATTAGCTTGTCCATGAATGGCCAATGAATAGCAACCTATTGGTGCGAAATTGTTCGCTTTCCAATTATCCTCCGCTCGTTAAATTCCATTAGTGGTAATGTTATAGGCGTTGTGGGAAGGCGCTTAAGGTGAATGGTGTTAAGGGGGAATGAATGGTGAATGGAGGAGCAGTGTGAGGGAACACCGGTGAATAACGAAAGGAGAAACTTCCTGGACCATTATTAAAGAAAATTGCTATTACTTTCATCCTTATTTATATATTTATTAATTTTTTAAAGATCATCTTGATTACAGTCACTTCGTATCCATGTTATTGTGTACCAGAACTTTTTTTTTAAAGTCGTTTTGTACCACAGTTTTCTATATATCATTTTATACACGAATCTTTTTGTACCATTTTTTTATAAAAAAAAAATAAATAATCCAGACGACCCGGGAATGAAGTGTTATTTCTTGTTTATTGTCCTGACGAAAACAAGGAAAAACAAAACAAAAGCTTAAAACCACTTGATTACGATGACAACCATTTGAATACAGTGATTTAATCCATTGAGTTTGATGAAGGGGTTAAGTCATCGTACTGAAGGGGTTGTCATCGTACGCGAATGGTTAAGTCATCGTACTCAAATGGTTAACATGTACTATGACTTAAAGCCTTTAAGTGCAGTATCATCTTACTTAAGGGTCATTGTATTCAAAGGGATGAGTCATCGTACTTCAAAGGTTAAAGTATCGTACTCTATGGGCTATTATTGTACTTCAGCCATCTCCCCTATTCCGCCTGCAGCCTCAAGGATATGAATTCCGAATGGGGTTTATCTTTACTCAGAAGCTGCGCCGCATACATGTTTTCTTCTTTATCCGGACGGTATTAAGAGCATTATTTTTGAGCTAGGGAGCTGAAATTTGGACAAAATAGTAACCAAGTGTTTTGTCAAAGATAATCTCTTTTCATATTTTTATCTCACATTTAGTTCATGATATTTGGTGGGAGGTGTACATTGAGCGTACTACTACTACATGTTCACTGTACTCAACAAGCCGGTATCGTACTCAAGGGATTAGATCATTGCACTCAAAAGGGCTAAGCCATCGTACTCATGGGACTGTCATCTTACTCCAGGGGTCAAAGATTTTGTACTCAATAGGTTAATTCATTATACTCAGGGGACAGTCTTCCTACTCAGAGGTAGGCAATGTAATCAGCAGGCCAGGCATCGTACTCAGGGGCCAGGCATCGTACTCAGGGGCCAAGCATCGTACTCAGGGGCCAAGCATCGTACTCAGGGGCCAAGCATCGTACTCAGGGTTATAATGCTCTTGAAAACTATCATGCAATAACATCATTACTTGCAATTCTGTAAAATATATTTATGTACAGTACGTGGCGAAGAACCCATAGTACGTAGAAGAACAACAATAAGAACAAGAAGAGGCTACAGCAGGAAAGTGGGTGGGCGGGGAGATGGTGGGCGGGGGAGGTGGGGAGGGAGATAGGGAGGAGAGGTAGGGAGGGAGGAGATAGGAGGGAAGTGGGGGAGGAAGGAGATAGGGAGGGAGGTGGGGAGGGGAAGAGATAGGAGGGAGGTGGGGAGGAGGAGGCATGAGGGGGAGGTGGGGAGGGAAGGAGATAGGAGGAGGTGGGAGGAGGAGGTATGAGGAGGTGTGGTGAGAGTGGGTGGGGAGCTGGGAAGGTAGTGGGCGGAGAGGCGGTGGGTGGGAAGGGTGGTCAGAGTATAGGCGCTGATCAGGACCGGTGGAGGCAGTGTGTGTATGATCAGCAGGTGAGTCGGGTTGGAGTTCACATCTCTCCTCCCGCCGCCGACAGCGTGAGAGAGATACTGTGTTTCCCGTGGTCTGTCTCTGTCTGTCAGTCCGTCTGTCTGTCTTACTGTCTGGTTAGGCTGAGGGAGAGAACTAATACTGCGTTCTTGTTCACGAGAAAGGTATTGCTTTTATGATTAGTAACAGACGTGTAACAATTAGCTGGTCCGTCAGTGAGTGAGTGAGTGAGTGACACGTAGAAAAATGCTGTTCTACCTGACCCCGTGGCTTTCAGCTCTGATATTAAACTCGAGTTTTCATTCGTATCAACAAAAAGCATAAAAAAATGAAACTGCTTTTCTAATCTTACTGCCAAATATAATCTGCTGCTTCAAGTTTCTGACACAACCCAGGTGGCTGATGACGTCACACTCGGCATGAACGGAGAGTTAACGACCTGGATAAATAATTTCAGATGTTTAATTGTTTATTAACTTTATTTCTTAACAACTCCAGAGCAAAGGTTTGATATTAATGATGTATCTTTATGACCCACGAAAACCATCGCGCACACACACACACTTCTTTTTTTTTTACATGAAGTTGACAATATAAGCTGCTGTAAGAAGGGACCAAGATGCCTCTAATGACGTCAGCCGAGGTAAGGAGAAGTGAAAAATTTGCAGGTCTGACATTTTTTTTTCTTTTTCGAAATCAATCATTTTACAATCTACAGCTTTTAACATCAAATATAACTGTAATAAACTGTCTAAGCCATTGGGAACCTCCTAATTACAGTTATTGAACCACAGTATCTAATTTACCCAAATTTATATTAAACTTGCGTTTTGAAAAATAGAGTTGGCAGCCTCCCAAGTGTAGCTCAGATTGGCCCGGTGGTCTCCACGGCCCTACAGTAGATGTTCAAATGGAACTTTAAAAAGACCCTTGGAGTAGATCTCACTGCTAGAGACAGGTCCTCAGGTAGGTCGAGTAGAGGGGCCTCGGATGGTGGAGTCCGGCAGCCAGAGGCAGACCACAGTATGGCCCACTGTCCGGCCAACATTGAGAGAATTTTGTCATGGTTGGGTATGACATAATGATAACGTAAGTTACGTCTGTAAATCTGAAAATTGTGCGATGAAAAAATTTGGCCTGCGTGTATCAGTGACATCCTCGGACCAGAGCAGACAGTACCATACGCTCGACGTGACCTTGTGGGGAAGGCAGAATAGTTAAGTTCGATAAAGTAGAGGAAACAACCATGGAAATATTCAGTGGGAATGATCTAATCAGAGAACGTAGCTTTATAATTAACGAGGTAATAACAACAAAGTTCTGTATGAGCAGAAGAATAAGAAGACTGTCCAGTTGTCATCGACCCAGTATTTTAAAGGTCAGGGTTCAGGTGAAGAGCCAGGGAATCATGACCCTTCGTCTGCATAACTTCACTCCCTCCCCCAAACAGCCTCTATACACAAGCACCTCAATCATCTCTGGTAAATGTTATCTCACCTAAACTGTACGGTATTTATTTATTTAAATTGTATTATTCTAACTTAAGAATACAATATAATTTAGTGAATCAGTCAACAATTTATCTGAAATTTTAACCACAAACATTTATGGTAAATTTCATTTCGCTTCATATTATTTCCCTTAACGCCGCACTGTCCAGTAACTCATCTCCCATGATAATTTCCAGCTCCCAGAATGTTCCTAATATTCCGACTGACGACTGTGTAGCGTCCTTCAGTGTGTTTAGAAAATTACCAATTCAATGTCGCCCACTGAC